CATCAGCAGCCAGCTCAGCTCCTGTGAAGGAATGCCAGGAGGAGAGCAGATACTGTTGGGCCATCTAAATCACGTGCAGAGTTATTCACAGGCAAGGATTTACATAAAACTCGCTTTTGTTTCCCTGTGACATTTTTCTCTCTCTTTTTTTCGTTCCAAACAACTTTAAAAATAAGGTTATATTAGACCACACACACGCAGCGCTGTATCATGTCGCTGCTTCTTAAGCAGAGCTCTCTAATTTATTTCAAAGGGAAGTTCTGCTTCAAAATTGAGGGTGTGATATGAACTCAGAAATTAACGCAAGAATTTTCCTTGGGGGGAACCAAGACTGAATCAGACATGCAATAAACGACCTCGGAAGCCCTGCACCTCAGTACATCCACCTATCCAACAGCACGCTTTAACATAAAATATTATTTTCACCATTATCCCGTCTCAAGCTAGGTAGAAGAGCTGGAAAAAGTGGATTTGCTGTTTTATTTATTCATGCGTCTGTCTGCTAAAAGACTTATCCATCATCAGTCGCTGCAGTCCTAACGTCCTCTGCCAGGAACATAACCACTCATGGGGACAGGGCACTGTCATGGGCAGGTCCCATAGCACAGATCCTGCTACCAGGAAGCCTGCCTGGTGCTGGTATTGCTCTTGTACTGCTGGATCCGCACAGGGCTGCAGCTGCCAGCCTCTGTCAAATGGGGCACCACACCTGGAGAGGGATGCATCAGCCCCTCACAGGGACAAACCCCAGCTGAGTGGAAATGGGGGACTTTTCCCACTCATTTCAACAGAATCAGAACATCAGGAAAAAAGAACATTAAAACCACTGCTCCGACAGAGCAAGCCAGCATAGAAAGACCTGTATAAAGAAGCAGCTGAGCTGCAGATTTCTTTCATGAAATGCTGAGAGCACAACAGCCTCCCTCCAAAGGATGGAGCAGATCTGGGGAAGGGGCTGTAGCAGCAGCAGCAGCCAGTCCCAGTTCATGCTCCTTCAGCGCCTGTCCAGCACAGGGCAGCATTAAAGCTTTGCCCCTGGGATCAATCTTCTCCTTCTAACCACTGAAGGAGACTTCCAGCTCTGTGCTTTTTGACCTCATGATACACATTTGGGACCTGTGGCAAAGTGCAGTGGCTGCACTTTGATCTTGCCCTGCCCAAGGGGACATTTCAAGCCCACTGAACGGAAAGCAAACTTGAGGAGCTGGGCAGATCTCGGGAACATCTGCATTATTTCCTAGGCCAGCTGTCTCACGTGGGGGCTGTCAATGTGCAGAGATTTAGAAGGTACCGCCACCGTTTTGCTCCTACATGAGCTCCAGTTAGAGAGCTTAATAGCGAAGAAAATGATTTTCCAAAGAAATGGAGGCCCTGTGTTTCTCCCAGAAGAACAGGACATAGCCCAGTGCCTCAGCTTCCTATCCAGAACATTTACATCCTGCCAGCCCACACCCCACTGGTGCCTGAACACAAGAGGGGTGCAGTGAAGGTGGGAGGACAGAACCCCCCACAACCCAGGCAGTGCACGGAGCAGAGCCCAACCCCTGGGCATGGGACGGGGCCGTGCAGCCCCTGCTTCACAAACCTATGCACAGAAGGAACTTATAAATGCTCCTTCTAAGATTTAACTACCACATGGTACAAGATGTAACAATGCTCAGAAAACCCCCTCGGGTCTCAACTCAATTATACAACTGTAGCAAGAAAAATATTTTAATCTGATCAAAGTGTTAACATGTTTGACCATGTCTGACCTCTAATGTTTGTAACCACCTAAAAGGCTGATGTTCTTACTAAGGATGTACCTTAATTTGATTTAAAGTCATTTGTACTATTTAAAAAAGGATATAGTTTTATGATTTTGTATTTCATTTAGAAAAACAGTTCCTCAGTGCATCATTGTTCTTTGGAAGTTTCTTGCAGATTTCTATCCTGAAAATCCCATATATTCTGCCCTGGGAAATGCTGAACTTTTTCCAAGCATCAGGAGAGCAAAAGCAGACTTGTGCCACACGCATGTGACAGCTGAGAGCCGAGTGAGAAACGGTTCTCCTGGTGCCTTGAAAAACATCAAGATTTCAGGTGTGTTTGCAGTCTATGCTGAGATGCTCCTGACCCGTTGTGCCCAGAGCAGCCAACGGCTATTTGTGCTCCCAGAACACTGGAAACCTGAGCTCTGGCTGTTCTATCCCCAATTCCAGCATTCCCAGCCGCCTGCTGCCCTCCCTTCTCTCTTTGCCATCTCTACAGCCACTGATGGATACCTGTGCATGCTCAGAATGGTGCCCATCTGGCCGAGCTGCCCTAAAAAGCAGCCTGTGTTGGCAGCCCGCTGCCGGCCGAGCTGGATGCTGCTGCAGGCTGGCTCTGGCCACATCCTGCACTAGGTGAGGGCCCAGCACATCAACTGGCTCCGCGCTGCTGCTGATGTCAGGTACCCAGACATGCTCAGCGCATCACACAGGAGCAACAGCAGCACGTGTAAATAACACCAGTGGGTTTGTTTTGACAGAAAATGCAGTTTGGGTTACGGAGATGGAGGGAGCCCAGCAGGATGCTGGGTGAGCATCACCAGGGCAGGGCCAACCTGAGCAAAACAAAACCAAACCGATGCTACCAAGCAACTAAAACTGCAGAACAGCCAGCAGCACTACAGCGATGGCAGCAGCGCTCTGGGACGGCTCCAGCACCCTCACAGCACCCCGAGCACTGCAGCAATAATGGGGCTTGCTGGCGCAGGGCTGGGCAGGGGCTCAGCCTGCAGCCTCAGGGCTGAGTGCCCTCTGCCCTTCTGCACGGTGTTTGTCAAGTAGCTAAGTGCAAAACCTCGATATCGTGCAAAAGCACACACCTGGGTTCATGTTTTTCATTTTTTGTTTTTCAGGACTCTGAAATTAATCCTAACAGCAAACAACTGTTTCCAGGAAGCCCCATTAACCAAAAATACCAACCATCAAACGCACGCATGACTGCAATCCATAATCCCATCCACTCACACAACCTTCCCTCCAACTCACGCTGGAACATTAATTAAATGCACTTCTGTGGAGGGTTAATATCTGGGATCTCTGGTCGCAGATCTGACCTCCTCAATTACTGAAGCGGTCGCCAGATCACAGCTCGCAATGCACACAGCAGCAACACAGATGAGGGCAGTACACTGTACGGTGATGGTAAGATGTACACCGTCAACATAAACACAAGAAAAAACGGCTCGGAAATATAGACTGGAAGAATTATTGTACCAACATCAAAAACCAAAGGAATGGCCAGCCTTGAGAAAGGGGAAGATTTCTCCCCCCAGTTGCCCGTAACACATTTTTAGCACAAAACACTGAATTGGCTTTTTAAGCAACATTGTTAAGAAACACCGCAGGATCCCAGCAGAGCCAACCAACGCTCACTAAGGCCATAGGTGATTTTGGTGGCTCTCAGGGAATCATTCCCTCTCTGCTGCTCAGTTTTCTCCTCCGTAAGTTCCGCGCAGCCTATTCACATCTATCTGTTGCTCCAACAGTAACCTCCTGGATTTTTTACACTCTCAAGGGGAAAGGCAATTCACAAACCACAATCTGCTTTCCAGCTTAATTGCTAATAAATAGGCTGTTGGACTTTGTTGCCCATCTAGTAAGGGTTTAAGATTAAAAGAAATATCTCGCTACAATGAATAGATTAATGCAACTTTGAACTTGAACAGATTCTACACCAGAGAGCAAATTAAACGAGTTTCAATGAGACAAATTTCGTATCATCAATTACAATTCATCAGTGGAGCAGCTTTGTATTTCCGAGGGGTGGAGGGAACACCTGGATCCCCGAAGAAGGGACACAAGATGGGAAACAACTGAAGAGCTGCTTGTTCTGAGAGCAGTGAGGCTGTGTCTTGCCAACACCTTTTCATGCTGGAAGATGAAGGCAACTCCAAGATGTAAAGATCCCCCCAAACTGCCCCTGATCTCAGCAGGAGCTGCACCTCCTGTGTCAGCGGGGCAATGCAGGGGTACAGCTACCAGAGGACCAGTCTCCTCCTGCCTGACCGGTGAGCAGGCTGGGGTGGGAGGACACGGCACTGATTGCCACGAGCAGCATTTTATCACACTTCATTTCCCATGCCATGATCCATCTATTTCTCATAACACCAATTTGAAGTCCCTACCCCTCTTAGCAAACCAAGTGCTTACATTGAGGAGGGCATTCTAGATTCTTCGTAGCTTAAAAACTAAAATACACTGAACAATGTTCTGATCTCATCAGCCTACTGTAAATAAGGAATAACACCTGAAATGAATGCGGCAATGCTGGCTCCCCTGAAATGACACGAGCACAGCCTCTGTGTGCTGCAGCATCGAAATTCTAAAGTCCTGGTGGAAAATGGCAATGGGCAAAGACAGCTCTCGTACAGAAGCGTTTAATTCAATTATTCATATAGCAAAACTTTTTGTAAGCATTAAATGACAGAGAGATGCTAAAGTTGATTTGACACGAGAAGGAAAAACTTTATGGGAAGACTGGAACAGCCGTCCAGCTGCACGAGACTGAAAAAACTCCATTGCCAATTTCAGAGTTTAAGATTTAAGTTGAAGATCCTCCTTCCGGGTCATCACCCACAGCAGAGCCCCAACTGGCAGCAGGCCCCAGGCTGGCCATCTCATGAGCAGATATGTCAAACTGAAGCTGAGCCACGGGACACAGCTCTGGACACCAACACCAGCAGCTGCTCACCTCCAGACCCAGATAAAGGAAGCATTTCCACATTAGAGCTTGGGATCTGACTGTCGGCATCACAAAGGCAAGCCTAGAAAACAGGGTCTGTGAAGAAGCTCCCCCAGTAATTCGGGGAGAAGCAGCGCTCGCATCACTCCCCTTTCCATGGAACAGCACTGGGCATTTTAAACACAATTTGTCAGAAAAAAGCACACGTAGGTGCCGGCGTGGTACCTGCAGCACAGCTGGGCAGTGAGAGGCCGCCAAAGGTCTCCGTAAGGAGAGGATGCACTCACCAGAGGTGACATAGATCCGTTTGGCAGATAGGGGTCTGAGAGCATGAGGAAGGGGTAGCCAGAGTACGCAGATCCTTTATACATCCCTGGGTCCTGGTGCTTCATACCTGCTAAAATCAGAGTTCCCCATCACGATCTGCCTTACGACAGGTGGCTGCTCTGCCTGTCGGGGGGGACGGAAGAGGTGATGGTGTATTTGGGAGCCTTTTGGCTCCGTAATCCCAAAGGAGCGCACTGTAAGGGTGTGAGGGTCCCGGGGGAGCCGGGCTGGGAGCGGGGCTGGAGGGGGCCGGGAAGGAGAGAGGAAGAGCCACGAGGATCGCCGCCACTAACCATCCTCCATGTGGTCCGGGAGCTTCTCCTGATAAACCCTCTGCGGATCCTGCACGCGGCGGATGGCCTGGATGGGAGGAGAGAGAGAGAGAAGGGCAGAGCGGGGTTGGCGGGAGGAGAGGGGGGAGCGCGTGCCGGGGGGCCGTGTGGGGCGGCCGGCTCACCTCAGGGTCCGCGGCGGCGGCGGGACTGCCGCTACCCTCGGACTCGTTCACCAGCGAGGACTTGAGATCGGCCAGATCGCGCTCGGTGAAGGCGTTCTCGGGGATCTTCTCCTCCTGCTCGCCCTCGTCCTTGAAGGCCAGCATCTCGTCGGTGGCCCCCAGGTCGTCCCCTCCGCCGCTGCCCAGTTGCGGCATGTCGCTCCCGCCGCGCAAAACTTCCCCGCAGTTTTGTTCTCACCGCGATTCCTCCTCGCGTCCGTCTGCGCGTAGGTTGGTTGTTTTCTTTTTTTTCCTCCTCCTCTCCCTCGATTATTTTGCTTTCGGAAAAAAGACTTCGCTCCCTCTATATTTTTCTTTCTAAACTTTTTTTTTTTTTCCCCTCCCCTCTCTAAATTCTAACAAACTTTTTTTTTTTTTCCCTTATAAATGTTACCCCCTTCTCCTAAACTCCCTTTCGAATCTCCCTAAAAAATAATAATACAAAAAATTTCCTTTCTTAAATCTTTTTCTCCCTCCCCCCTCCCTCCTTCCCTCCCGGCAACTGGCGGGGGGCTCTGCAGCCTGCAGCCGGGCAGGCGTCGCGGGATGCCGCGCTCGACGCTGCCCCCCCCCCCCCCGGTGCCGCCCCGCGGCCCGAGCCCCGCAAAGTTTCTCCGGGAGCAGCGGGCGCCGGCGGCAGCCAGAGGCACGGAGCGCCCGGTGCCTGTGTGCGAACGCGGCGGCGCGGCGGCCAAGGGCTGCCGACATCAAAGCGGCCGCCGGGTGATTGGCAGCGCCGGGGAGGGGCCGGGGGCGGGCGCGCACACGCACACACCCGCGCGCACACGAACCCGCGCGCGCACAGCCGAGCGTGCAGCCCGCGCGCGCGGTCGAAGAGGGGTGTCTGCCTTAAAAGGGCAGCGGGGGGAGGGAGGGGTGTGCGGTGCTGCTGGGCTGCGGGGCTGTGATGTGGCGCTGCATAGCATGGCATGGCACGGCATGGCGTGGCAGTGCATGGCACAGCACGGCATAGCATTGCATGGTGCAGCACGGTGTGGCATTGCATGGTGCAGCACGGTGTGGTACTGCATGGTACAGCATGGCGTGGCAGTGCATGGTGCAGCACAGCACGGTACAGCATGGTGTTGCATTGCATGGTATGGCACAGCGTGGCATTGCATGGTATGGCATGGTGTTGTATTCCATGGCATGGTGCAGCACAGCACGGCATTGCATGGCACAGCATGGCATGGCATTGTATAGCATGGTACAGCATAGCATGGTTTGCATGGTACGGCATGGTGTTGCATTGCGTGTCATGGTACAGCACGGCATGGCAGCACATGGCAAAGCATGGCAAAGCATTGCATGATACAGCATGGCATTGCATTGCATAGCATGGTGTGGTACAGAACAGCGTTGCATTGCGTGACATAGTACAGCACAGCATGGCATTGCATGGTACAGCACAACACAGATTGCATTGCCTTGTATAGCATGACACAGTATGGCATGGCATGGCATTGTACAGCACAGCATTGTGTGGGGTAGTGTGGCCATGACACGGCACAGCACAGCATTGCATGGCACTACTTGGCACAGCTAGGGGCACAGTGAAGCCGTGTAAGTTTGTCTGCATGCACATCTGTGTGCACATCTGTGCACTTATGTTTAGCTCTGCTTACACATCAGTGCACACATGTACACACAGATGCATGTGCACACACATTTTCATACCCAGCTCTGGCACGGCACGGCACAGCGTGATAAGGCACAGTGTGGTATGGCACGGCATGGCGTGGTACAGCACAGCAAACTGTATGTGTATGTAGGTGCTAGCATGCACACACTGCTGCACACACATCTGCATGCACGGTTCTGCACAGGCAGCTGCAAATACACTTGTGTACACACATAGCTCTGTGTGCACTCTTCTTTGTGCACACAGCCTGTACATGTGCTGGTGCACACTGCTGCTGTGCTGCTCACACTATCGGTGTGTGTATGCCCACACGCACCAATACACACACAAGGACTCATGGAATTTCCTGAGTTGGAAGAGACCCACAGCGATCATTGCATCCAACTCCTGGCTCACCATCAGCACTCACTGCACACTCCTGACACACACCAGCACTTGCACACCCGCACGCACCACTGCACACAGCAGCACCAACCAAGACACAGCTGCCCGCAGCAGCATGCACAGCCCCACACGAGCACACGCAGCTGCACGAGCGCTGCACACTCACAGCTGCTCACAAATGTTCCAGCACAGATCAGAGGGCAGAAGTCTTTGCACACATCTGAAGGTGCACACGTGTGCTCACGCAGCAATGGCACTTCCACACAGGCACTGCACGTGTGGGTGCACACACGCACACCCTGCCACGCACTGCTGTGCAGCCCCCAGCCCCGGCTGCGGTGTTGCAGAAAATGCTCGGCCTTGAGTGGCCCCGAGGGTCGGGAAACCCGAAATGAACATCTTTGTAGCCAATGTGAAGGCAGCAGACACTTCTGTGTCGGCGTCAGATTTTTTGTGAGGCAGTTCCCATGGAAAAGGAAACTCCCCATCTCCTCTGATCGCGTACGACAGGTCCTGTGCATGTCTCCGGTAGCTTGAAAAAACACACCGATATTTATTTTCCTTAATTAAGATTGCATAAGATAGCCCTGGGTCCTGGAGACTTTTCTACAGACTGTAATGACGCCATGTAAATTGTTTTTTATGACCCAATATACTACATATTGTCGCATTCAGCCCTTGAATAGGAAGCTAAAAATCTCGGTCCCTATTTTTCTTGTTAATTAGGGTATTATTACTATGGATATAATCTCATTACTTTTGGGGGAGGAGAAGAACTAGTCAGAGCCACTTTGAGAAGTGCTGAATGTATTTAAATGAAGCAAAATCCGTCTTTCTGCTAATTGCTGTTCTTGCACAGTGCTCCTATTTCGGGGGCTGAAGGAGATGGGATGGGGGGGGGGGGAGGCGCAGCGTGCATCTCTGCTTCCCCACCCCATAGCAAACTCCATCTGTGGATTTCCATCCTTTTAAACATCACTAAAAAAATAAAATAAAATACGCTGCAGCCTCTTGGAGCGAGAATGATTTGAATGAAATATTTGCTGCTTTCAGATTTTTTAATTTTTTTTTTTCCTTTTCAGATGATCCTCTTGTTTTGCATGTGAAAAAAATCGTCTGAGATTTACAGCCCTCCCAAACGGAGATAAAGCCTTGGCAATGAGTTGGAAACCTGTTGTAATCTGTGATCCAGGAAACAAAGAGCCTCATTAATGCAGAGACTTTGGTGAGCCTTTGATGTTAGCTAGCATAGCATTCACTCTCGGTTCCATTTGCATTTAAACATTCATAAAAACATCATCTCTGCTTCCTTTGCCTTAAGCAATTTAGGAGTAAAGTATAGCTTCTATTTAAAGAAACCCACTGTGGTGAGGCTCAGAATACAAATATCACATAATCTTCAAGCAAAGCAAATATTTTATCCTACATTTCTGGTGGGCACGTTTAATAATGTTATATTTAAGACCCAAAATAAAAGACCTGTCTTATTTTCATTAACCTTACACCACAATTCTAGGGAAAAGAGAAAAGGGGCCTGGTTCATCCTAAATGTGCTGCATGCCAGTTTGGGGAAGGAAGGGAACGCGGAGGATTTGACATTATTCACAGGAGCTGCATTCTGACAAGCGGGACGCCTGCAGCAAGGTGCCCAAATCCCTGTTCAGACACACGGCCATGGAAATTTTAGAACAACTTTTTATGGGTTTTATTTTTTTTTATTTTCTGAACCATGGAATCGTCATCCTGGGGTTATAACTAACGTGAAAATAAAAAGCAGCACATGCCCAATGCATGGGGCTTTTTTCCATGAGAAGTCACAGGCACCAGAGAGCGGGGAGAGCGGGGAACTGGGGGCATCGCTCTGGAAACAAGGCCTGCCCACCACAGTGTTCTCAACAGCATTGTTCAGCAGTGGAGTGGGGCGAAAAACACCTGAGTCAGGCTGATGTGGCATTGGGAATCCCCAGCTTTGGTGTCCACACCAGTGTCCCATTATCACAGCAGTGTGAGCTACGGGTGGTCCCACATCACACTGGGAGCTCCTTCTGTGCTGCAAGCAAACACGAGGGAACCTCCAGGTTGGGTGAGTCAGTTCAGCCAGAAGGTGTTTCAAGCGTTCTAAGCGAGTTTCCTATACAGTGAATATCCAAAATTGAAATGGAAAACACTTAAAAACAACTTTACCTTGGATAAAATATTTCTGGAGCTGGATCAAAGGAAAACAGAAAGCCTGGCTCGCTTGTCAGATCCTATCTGCAGTGAACTTCAAGGTTTGAGTTGTATTATTTACATGGAAAAGGTCCCAAGAAACCAATTTGGCACTAAGTATCTTCATTACGTTTTTTCGCTTGTATGGGTGATTAAATCAATCCAGGGTTCCTATTTTAATTTTTTTTTTTTCTGAAAGGTGCAGCCATCTGTGAACTGAGGAACTTTTCTGATGTCATCTCTGTGCCTCAGACACACACTCCTTGCTTTTTTAATAAGGAGACATTTAAAACAAGGGAGTATATTTGTTCTCACTAGTAGAGCTTCTGTCTTTCCTGTAAGTGTGCAGAACTAAAGGTGTGTAACAACCTTTTAGAAATATAGTAATTGTGACACCTATGGATAACTGTGGTCAGCGCTCACCTATAGCCCAGTCCATCTGTCTGTCAGTCTGTCTGTTCCCTATCCTGCACTTATCAGCACACAGAAGGACATTGTATGGCTTCACTGTGTGCGTTCCATTGAATGAAGCCTCCTCCAAAGCCAATGTAGATGGTGCTGCTGGCTCCTCTTAGAGTGGGGTTTCACCCTCTGCTCCTCAAAAGTGACTTCAGATGCAAGCATTCAGATTTATTTAATTTAGTTTATCTGCTTTCTCAGTGTTTCGTTCATTTAATAGGAGCAGTTTGGATTACTCTCTCTGGACACACTTCATCCTCTCCTACATGCCTATTTAATGCAAGGACCACATCTACCACTGGCAGGCTGATCATCCCCATCTGCCTTCCTATCTCATTGCATCCGGAGCCGATACATTTCCCCGATACACGTCTACATGCTTCAAACAATGCTTTGATTCAAGAACAGCTTTCTCAGCCTGTTTTTCATAGCCAATTAATCAGTTCTTCACTAACAGAGGAACCTCCTAAATATTTACCATTCTCTCTGAGAAACACATGCACGGGTGCCCCGTAAGGACGGCCTGATTGATAGATTGGCAGCGTGGATTTTTCTGATGAGACGGAAAAGCTCCTGCTTGTGTTCCAGCAGGGAGCTCCTGGAGGACGGGCTGCTACCAGCTGAACTAATCCTGGCAAGTGACCAGCGTAAATCAGGCCACTAAAAGCTCTGTTTTGCCCAAAGGGGTTTACACTGGTATAATTACTTGGCGTAGTCATAGCAGGAATATTTCCTTAGTCTAGACAAGCTCTAATGGGTAAAATAGATTTATCG